GTGTTCTGTAATTTTTTTTTGTCCTTTTCTTTTTATCCTTATCTTGTCTGTTTGCCCAGTAACCACCTAGGGCTACAGTAACCTATGTTTAACCAAAGAGCACAAACTGTTGTCCCACTTATATGCACAGTGGAGAATATTTTTGTATAAGATTTAAAACAGGATATGGTCATTTAAACATTTTTAAAAGATTAAAATGGCCTTATCAGCCCCCTCCCCAGCCTTTCCTTTTGGGTTTGGTGCCGTTAGGATGTTTTAATAATAAATGTGGGAATCTTTAACCTTGTAACAAGATGGTAAACATAGAATCATTCTCATTGTTATCCTTCTTCTCTAATGGTTTTGTCTGGTGAAAGGTGTTTATCACAAAAACCTAGTCATAGATTTCAAACAGATGTGAAAATTGCAAAATCAGATGAATTAGGAATCTCCTAATCATATTTCTTTTTAATAAAAGTTAACGGTTAGACCCGGGACGCGTCCAGGTGTGGCCAGTCTGCCGTTAGGTGTGATACAGAGACGGGTGGAGCTTGAGCTGAATGTGCTGCGGCCAGATTAGGAACATAGAATAATTTGTATGGTTAAAAGAGGAACTCAGCTTGATACAGTTACACCTAAACTGCTCAGTTAGCTTTAACAAAACACTGCATAAGGTTTGCTTTCTGCTGTATCCGAGGTCTTTTTGCTGTCACAAGATTAAAGCCGGCAAATTATTATTGTTATCATTGTGAGCAATCTTCACACTGCTGTTGATTAATTGATTGATTGATTAACTTGATTGATCCTACATTGGAGAAATCTACTTGTTACTTCAGCTCAAATAGTCAAAGAATGTGTCGAAGGAAGAAAAAAGTGCATGGATATATATACAGTATATACAGTGAATCCAAATATGACAAGGTTTTTTAATTTTTTTTTTATAGTAGGATCATTATACAGGGTTATTGCACAGGGTATTAACATTGGTATTTATATAGATTGATATCTATATTTATATATACAGTTATTGCACTAGGATCAATTATTGTTTGTTTCTTCAGTGGAAGGTGCATAGGTGACTCATGTCAGTCTTTTGTTTTACTGCTCAGTTTAATTAGATAGGACAGAAACTTAACAACATTGCCTCTAAACATGATGTTAAAGTGACATCGCTGTCAAGCAAATATGACATTACTGGCATACAGGGTATGCAAACATGTAACTTGTCACTGTGAATGAATGTAACATAACTGTAGGTCAAAGTGCTGTCACTCCATCAAAGTTGTGACATCACTGCATGCAGATGTCATATCATTATGTATAAATAAAATCTCAGTGCATGAAAACGTCATCTCCGTTTGTATAAATGTGATATCCATGTCCCATGAGGTTAGTGCTTGGGGGGTGGGGGGCTCAATGACTGAACTTTATGGCCCTTCAGTGATGGCCGAGGAAGAGACAGCTACATCAGCTCCTGTCCCATATAGAGAGCACAAACTATCTACCCCTACACATCTTCAGCCAGCAATTCCCCACTTTTGCCTTTCAGCGCTCAGCCTCAAGGGAAAGTTGAGTTGCGGTGACTATGATTACAAAGCAACTTGCCAGCAGAGGAACATCTTTGCCTCCGATGTCTCCCCCCATTTCAGAGTCTTTCAGGGATGTTGCTCCATTCTTAGATGCAGCACATACCTTAAAACTGAGCAGCTGCCTCTTCAGGCTCCTCTTTATTTTCCCACATCGGTAGGCGCTTATGTTTGGAGTCGGCTGTTACTGAGCTCGCTTTTATGTCTGTGTGCAGCTGGAAGCCTGAGATGATTCACTAACAGTACATGTTCTATGGTGCATTTTTATGGAAAGATAAGACTTTGCCTGCTTCCTGTTTGTCATGTGATCAGAAATACAGACTAAACACTGGAAATAAATATGAGTGAAGCTTATATTGATTGATTTCCTAAAGCTTAATCAATCAATCAATCAATCATCAGACACAATCAATCAAACAGAGCTCTGCTTCTTCTCTGAGTCTGCCATGGCTGGCGGTGCCCAGTGGGGCCCATAAACAGTCTGGGAGCTGCACCATACTTGGGGGGTGGGGATAAGATGGAAGAGAATGGATTTAAGGGTTGGGGGGTGGTGATGATGTAGAGGGCTGTGACCCCCTCCTTGCCTCACTTTCCAGCCTGTTGCTCTGGTCCCTTCAGATAAATGAGACTAATTGAATTAGGAACCAAATACAATCAGAGCCTCAATCCAGGAACTCCCTGCATTCAGGGGACTCCACAAAAACACTGAAACCCACCCAAATGAGAGGGCACAACCCCAACACAATAGGACACCTGTTCAGAGGAAATGGCAGCAGGTGCAGTAATGCTTCAACCAGTCATGAATCTTCTGTTCTTTTTCTTTTAAACACCTCCAGCCTAAATGAAACTGGTGGATTGGCTGAAGCCTTGTATTGGTCCTTAACCACAGGCCTTTCAGATACTGTTCAGGGTGAGTTCTAAGGAGCTTAACAACCAGAGGTTCACCTGGAAATAGTTGGACTGAAACTGAATTGAAAATCAAGTTAAATGATTTTGAGACTTAGGAGAACATTTGGTTAAGACTACCCTGAAAGACTTTAGGAAATTCTGGGATTCCTCACAGTCTCCCCCTCCTGTATGTGTCACAATCCCTGGCAGTTCAAGCAGAAACCTGGTTTCCATGAGAACCATCTCCTCTCCTCCCCCGGGCTGTTGCCCAGGTGATCAGCTGATGAGAAGGAAGAGGAGGAGGAAACAGCAGCCTATACCTCAGTGTGAGGCAGCAGGCGCGTGGAGGAGGATGCAGCACCTGGACGAGCGTTGCAGGAGCTAGAAAATCGGCTGATGTTTACAAGGTTTGCTTTTGATACAGTGTTTGGTTATGAATGACAGGCTGATCAATCACCAAGGTTACATGCGTTCTACAGAGAACCTTTTAGTGTTCAGGTTGCTTGTTTTTTCCTCTCATGCTCTTTTCTTGTGTTGCTGCTTGTTTTCTAGCACTGCGTGTGCCATATTTTTTGCCTTGGGCTCCCATTTGAGCTTTTCAGGTTACAGTAGTTTGTGTTTGTGCTGCTTTTGAGATCTTTCATCTCAGAAACAGCTGGAGACAAATGTGACAACGGAGAAAGTGTCAGAGGGGGAAGAAAGAAGAAGGGGGAGGAAGATTAATGTGTCTGTGTGGGAAGCTGAAGGAGGAGGAGAAGAGGGAGGAGTTTCTGCTTTGTCCTCGGCTCTCTGCAAAGCACAAAGACAGCTGACAGAGATGTTCTCTTTCACTCTGATGTGACAGAGATGTTTTCTGGTGGAGACTTTTCAGTCTGAGAGACTGTTAGGTTGCAGCTGAAGGTTTGCTTCACCCCAGTGAAAATAAAGCATCATGTGACCAGTCAGACAGACAGCAATCTGTAGAAGTTTTAATAGTGGGATCAAAAGCTTTTGACCAATCAGAGCCTGAAGTTTGAATGTAAGTGTTTGTGTTACTTGTTCTGCACTTTTCACCACACAACCCTCCAGTAAATGACTGTTTGGGCTCCAAAAGGAGACATATGCATTGATGAATATCTGACAACCATTACGATATTGTTTTTAATGTTTTTCTATATTCCTACTTTAAGGACATTCATGTATGCGTCTACAGAAAATATTAAGTAACATTTCACATCTTAAAAGCCCCCATCCTTAGCTGCCACCTGGCTTATTTGGTACTCTGAGCTCAGCCTCACCAATTGCAGGTGGAGGGCTCACATGGAGGTGCTCTTCAGTAGCCTTTCTGAGCTTATCCAGTCATAGTTCCTTAGCCAAAGCATGTTCACCAGATGAGCCGCACCTCCCAGGCTTTACATGAAGATGCCTACTTTTTGCCTTATGTTGTCAAATCATAACGTATTTCCTTCATTTATATTTTTTGATCAGATGGGATAGATCAGCATCCTGCTTTAGAACAGCTGAATGTTTCTACTGAAGCAGCTCACATTCTTTCAGACAGAAAAAAAAGAATTAATGGGTGGGGGGGGCATTTGGGAGTGTGTTTCATCTGATTGGGGGGGTTGGGGGGTCACATTAGACCCCCATGTATACCTAGGACCACACAGCGAGCGCTCCATCCCTCTGTGTTTGATCACAGAGAGCTTTACCCTTCCGAGGCGGTCACACCTCTTATTAAACCTCAGTCTGTCCCACGCCCCCCTTCTTCGCCGACCCTCACCCCCCCTCTCTCTTGGTATTCAGCCCAGGTCAGCAGATTTGAGCCCAGCCCACCGTGGCTCCCTTTTTAATTTGCACCTGTTGCGCAGTTGTCCGGGAGGCGAGAGCTGCAGCGGCTGCAGACAAAGATCATATTATGAACAGACTAATCTCCGTGTAGCGGAGAGGGTCCGAGGGTCAGAGATGGGGGGGGGGATCAAATCTGCAGCAGGAAGTGTGATAAGATGCAGAAGAGGCACTCTAGCAATCTGTGTTCACTGAACAAGCCTGAAATTCTGAGACTGTTCCTGTGGCTGGACTCCCATCTGCAGGCTGTTCCCATGATGTCATGCATCCTCACACACTTCCAAACCAAACCCTCAACACTGCACACACAATTCACCTCAGTCAGGTTCAACTCAGTTCAAGTCTACAGCCGGAGCGCAGCTGACAGAAAACACCAGACAAAAAAAAATGTGATTTAAAAACAAGTCTAAATTATGTAAAAGGATGTTTAAACTGTTGTTTTTGTTATTTCAGGTAAAAATCACAGATCAAAATGTTTCTGCATGTGCATTTCTCTCTGTTTTATTTAAGTCCATCCTGCAAGGTTGTAGGTGTGCCTTTATTTACAGACAGAGTTCTGAGACTAAATGAGGAAATTGACAAATCCAGAAGGCACATTAGAATATAATATTTCAATGATTAGTTTGGAGGTGGATCCACAGTGAAAGGTGGTTCCAGATGTTGTGTGTTTTTTTTATTTTTATTTGCAGCTGTGTCAGCTCCTCCTCTGTCTCTGTTTTTTAGTTGCGAACTATGACACTGTGCTGGAGACGACCTCAGAGACAGATGATGATGACCAGACGCTGCTCCGTGATGACAGTAGCTTCACGGGAGCTGCGGGAGAGGATGAAGAGGCAGGAAGTCCAGTTGGTGTTTCACATCTGGAGGCATCGCCCAGGGTTGGCCACACCCTGCTGTCCAACAAGGATCAAGAGGACTTGGAACATCGAGGAGAGGACAGGTGTATCGGTGAGTCTCTGATCAAATCAGCAGCTCAGAGTAAGAGCAGAATAATGTTTGCTCCTCTACCATGTTCCTGATGTGGGGCAGCTGGTGCTTCTGATCATCAGATAGTAGAGAAGACTGTAGAATAATGAGTTTACACTGTAAATAAATAAATAAAAAAGCACAGCTATGAATCCAAAAACCACAGGAGGGTTGGGTTAAGAACCAGGAAACTAAAGGTAGAACTAACTAGACAGAAAGCTAAGAAGGAACAAAATAGGAACCAATGGAGATCAACAAGAACTAGAGAGAATTACATTAAGGAAAACCAAGGAAACAAGCTTGAATAGGGAGCACTAAAATACCCATCAAAATCAGAACCAGGAAACAAGCGTGGAAATGTACAGAGAGGAACCCATGGGTGAATCAGTTAGAAACCCAGGGAGATAACATCAAGAATAAAAACAACCTGTTAAGAGCTAGGGAAGAACCAGGTGAAAAACCAAACAATAACAGAATTAGAAGGAGTGTTTCTAATTCTGTGTTTCGTTCCTTTAGGGGAGCAAAGCACCGAATATGATGCTGTGGGACCTGAGGCATCTCTGCAGGTGGTGGAAAATGGTGCAGGTGAGATCAATAATCTATTCGGAATGATAACAGCTCCACAGAGAAAGAGAAATAAAGCCAAACTAAATCACTTTCTTAGACAAAATAAAACTTTCATTATTTACGTTATATATTACTTGCACACATTATCAAATCAAATGTAACTGATTGTTCTTTTATCCTCACATTTTTTCTCTCAATCTCAATAAAGTTTATTAAAAGTTGAGCAGTTTTATGTCTTATTAAATAATTGATTAACGTGTTCTAAAAAGTTAAAGTCTGTGCCTAGATTGTTGTCCTTAATTTGTGTGTAAGTTTTGATATATGCAAGAAATCAGTTGGTGTAAATTTCTGTTCGTCCCTGCATCTTTAGTGTTTCCTAATTTCCCCTTTTATGCTGATGATCTTCTTTTCTCTTCTAATCTATGTCCTCTCAGGAAGACAACTGGAAGGCATCTCTGAGCTGGATGAGTTGTTCCTGAAACGGAAGCTGGAAGATGACTGCGGTCACCACGCAACTATTGCAGAGTACCTGCAGCGCAGCGACACTGCCATCATTTACCCAGAAGCCCCAGAGGAGGTAACGCGACTGAGCACGCCTGAGGCAGCTGGTCAGGATGAGAGCGAACACGGTGAGAGTATAGACACAATACAGGGTTAAAAACAAAAACGTAAACACTATAAACAGCGAAAATGTGGCTCAACATGAAAATAGAACATACTGAAAAACTTAAGGTTATCGGGGTGGCTGCTTGGTATAGAAGGTGACGTGAATTAAGGAGGATTCTCAATATCATGTAGTTTTACAGACCTGGCGGAAAAACAAGCCCAGTGTTCTGAGTATTCTGGGTTTAAAGGATCTCTTGTGACCTCTCATCTCTCCCTGCAGATCTGTCTTCCAGTGCCGCAGACGACTTCGCCCAGCTGCTCACCTGTCCATACTGTGAGCGTGGCTACAAACGGCTGACGTCTTTGAAGGAGCACATAAAGTATCGACATGAAAACACTGAGGAAACCTTCACCTGTCTGCTATGTGCTGAAACATTCACCCAGCGATCCCAGCTAGAGCGCCATATGACCACACACAAGCCTGCTATGGACCAGGTAAGCAAACACATCTGCACAATGTCAGCAAATGTCAGGTTGCATGGAAGGATGGATGGTTTATTGACCTATAAGCTCACAGTCCTACTGTGTTGGGTACCATCTAAGTCCTCCTTGAGTGATTTCTTTTCTGATAACCTGTTAACTTTGGATCCACCCAAATACTGTGAATGCATCCTGTGTAGGCCGATCCTCTTCCTGCGGCAGCAGCTGTGTTTGGGCGTGCAGCCTGTAAATGCAGCTCATCACTCGGTGCTCTAATCTAATGATGAGGCCGTGTTAAACGCTTCCTGCACACGCCTGTTCTCTGCTCCTTAGGATCCAGGAGTCTTATTAGAGTCAGTAACTAAGCTCCAAGTCATTCCATTTTCCAATTACACCATGATCGTAATGGGATTACCTTGTCCGAGCAGTTAGTTGTCAGGATCCTACAGTTCATCAGACCTCCTCACAGACTGAACCAAGACCAGATGGTCTTTTCCCCGCTGGGCTGGAGAATCCTAATCCTCTGAGTGTTTATGAGAGGACTCCCTGAGTTAAACCGTTAAACTGAGAAGAGAGGCTGAAGTAGATCGGTTCGTGTTTCAAAACAGAAACACTTATGTAAACCCCCTGTGCTGTTTAATCACTGCAATGAAACACTCCAAGGTTTTATCAATGGAAAAATTGACATATTGTCAATAGCTGCAATGGATGGATGGATGCATGGATGGATGGATGGATGGATGTCACTTCATCCTGTCTACCACCACAAAGTCAGATCCATAGGTTCAAAGTGAATCACATTCCACAAATTTTGTATTTTTATTTAAACTACAGTTTAAATAATAGTTTAAATAGTTAAACCTGTTAATAAGCAGCATCAGAGAAAACACATGAAAGAGGCGTTTTATCACCAAAAAAATATGATTGCTGATATCTGGGTTTAATGTGAAATAAAAAGATTTGAACTCCCTCTCTGCTATGGGAACAGGAACCCCCAACCCCACCCCAACCCCAATCACCCGGTGTTGTTTATTTGTGCATTTGCATTTGAAATGGTGGGAATGCACCTCTACCAGAAACTGCCGCCTCTGAACCGAATCAGCCCACGCTGTTCTCAGAATGCCTTCTGCAATCATTCTTCCAGGAGAATCTCTTTCTATCCTCTCTACTCCACTCCTACTCCTCCTCCCTGTAATCGGTTTCTTCTCTCTGCAGCCATCACTGCTCAGTGAAGGAGCTGTAAACCGCAAGTTCAAGTGCAGCGAATGTGGAAAAGCCTTCAAGTATAAGCACCACCTGAAGGAGCATCTCCGTATCCACAGTGGTGAGTGGAGGATAGGGTTAGGGGAACAGATAAATGGACAAACTAGGAAAAAACTGTTTGGGTTTTCTGATTAGTTTCATAGCTCTTTATGATCATTTACAAAGTACAACTTCCACTCTTTTTTTTTACATATTCATACAAAGAGAAGACAGTGAGAAAGGATTTTTTTAATATATCACAAAGAAACAGATAGTTCCTTTTTATGGAGGCCATGTATAGCATAAAGCCTTTAATGTGGAAATGTTATGTTTTTAAAATTTTTGATATCCTTAGTCATTGGTAATTTGAGGCAATTATACTAATAATCATGTAATTCCCAGCACTATGTAACTTGATTAGGTGAGAAAAGGAATGTATGGATTTAATCTTCAAAGTTGCAAACGTAAGAAAGAATTCATTTATAGACAGAGTTGTGTTTAGACACAATGGACCCTACAGTTTGAAAGTAATCCCTGTTTTTTTTTTGCAGGTGAAAAGCCATATGAGTGCTCAAACTGTAAGAAGCGCTTCTCCCATTCAGGATCCTACAGTTCCCACATCAGCAGCAAGAAATGCATCGGCCTAGTTGCCCTTAATGGACGAGTACGCAATGGGAACAACAGCAAACCTGGCTCCTCTCCAAACTCAACAACATCATCACCGGGAAGCCCTGCATTGTCCCATCTCCGGCAAAAACTAGAAAATGGGCGACTACTTGGTTTACAAGACCAACAAGGTCAGCTAGACATCAAAACTGAGCCAATGGACTTCAATGAGTACAGAATGCTAATGGCTTCACAGCATGGGTTTGGGGGACCAGGGATCTATCTAAATGGTCGTAGTGGAAGTCCCCTGAGTATTCCAGGCCCCTTTCAACAAATGGGTGGCATTGGGCTTGATCTCCCCCTCCTGGGCTACACTGGACCTCTTGGAAGCAGCCTAAGTGAGGTACAGAAAGTGCTCCAAATTGTGGACAACACTGTTTGCAGGCAGAAGATGGACAGAAACTCAGAGGAGTTGTCCAAGCTCAGGGCTTATATGAAGGAGCTGGGTGCCCAGATGGAGGCACAGGTGATTGGCCACAGTAGTCCTACCAAAAGCATCATTGACTACACGCTAGAGAAGGTCAATGAAGCCAAGAACCTGATTAATGACTCCAAGATGCAAATGGATGTTAACAAAGAGAAACCAAACCAATCAATTGATCTCAGCAGTGAAGAAAATTTGTCCGACAGACAAAACCAACTCCTGACATTTTCCTGTCAGTATTGCAAGGAAACCTTTCCTGGACCAATCCCACTTCATCAACATGAGCGCTACTTGTGTAAAATGAATGAGGACATCAAGGCAGTTCTGCAGCAGCCAGAGAGCAGTCCTGTTGGCTGCAGAGGGCAAAAGGCTGATGAACTGTCACATAGTGAGGCAGCAAACAGCCCTACCAACCCATTCAAGGAGCACATGTCAGTGCTGAAGGCCTACTTTGATATGAACACTGACCCCAACTCTGAGGAACTGCTCAAGATTTCGCTTGCTGTTGGCCTTCCTCAGGAATTAGTAAAGGAGTGGTTTTCACAATGGAAAAGTCAAAACAACCACATGGACAGTTTAAGAAAAAAAATACACATTCCTGAACCGGGTGGAGCCGACCATAATTTGAGTCGGTCTCCAGTGTCTCTTCCAGTTGTAGATTTACGCAATGGCTTCATTAACAGCGATGGTTCCTACAGAGTCAAAAAGACCAATGAGTTTACAGCCCACAGGCAGACAAAAGGGGAAAAACAACAAGATCCTGCGGACCCCTTACGAAGCAACACTCCATCACCCTTAAACCTGTCTTCCACCTCATCAAAACACTCCCAGAGTAGCTCTTACACTCCAAACAGCCTCACTTCAGAGGATGCCCATGGGGATATTCCTCTGGATTTGTCGTTGCCCAAACACTTGGCACAGAAGCGACCAAGGCCCAATGGTTTTATCACCGACCACAATGGGGAGCTTTCAGGACATGAAAAGGGATCTGAACCTTTAGAGCTTGTAAACATTAAGAAGGAGGTATTTAGCTCTGATAGTGGTAGGATCTCTATTCATCCGCTGGAGAAAAGCACCAGTCCAATTTTTGGGATTAATCCCTTTGGTGGTGGTCCTATGTATACCTCCTTACCACCCCATGGAGCCTTTTCTCCTGCCACCTTCATAAGTCCTGCCCAGGCCACCATCCCAGGTCTTAGGCCTTATTCCGGTCTTGACCCCATGAGTTTCCTGCCTCACATGGCCTACACCTATGCCCCAGGAGCTGCAACATTTGCAGAAATGCAGCAAATGAGAAAGTACCAACGGAAAGCAGGTTTCCAGGTAAAACTATAGAATGATATAGAAAAATGTCTGTGACTTTTATCACTACTGTTAGTTTAGGCGAAGTTTGTCAACTATATGAAACCTTACTTCTTAGATACAGTGCCAGCCATAAGAGCAAAAGGACTGGAAACAGTATTAACGTAAAAAATATGTTATGATTTGAGGGCCATTTCTGCAGAGGTAAACTAGAGTTCTGCTACCAATGTTGCATCTCCTTGTAGCTTAGGGACTTTTTGGGCCCTGAAAGTCTTAAACTATTTCTTTGAAGGAGCAGGGAAGTTTCTGGATGAGTTTTCATACCATGATTTGAACATTGCTAGATGATTATAGCTCTTTAAAAGCTTTTAAACAGTGAAAAATAGGGCCCAGAGAAAGACATAATCAAAGTGAAGTCGAAAGATAGATTTTTTATTACATTTTTCTTTTAATTTTAAATAAAAAGTTTGGCACATCAAACTGATTTTGATATGGCTTTAAATTACAAAGCAAACCCCCACCACCACCACCAAAAGTATATTGATAGATAGAGCCCTTAATCCATTTTATCACAGTTTGTAGCAACTAGCATCCATTTATTTTGGCTAACTTCTAAAAAAGTCTTTGGTGTTGGCGTGGAAGTGGTGCTGCTCTCAGTTGTTCTGTGACAAGCAATCAGTCACATTACCACAGGGTGAAAAACATAAACTAATGGGAATTGCTACAGCAAATTAGAACTGAACAACGCAAGTCACCGTCATTATACTAGTATCAAAACTTGTCATAGTGTAAGAGTAACCTTTTCATGTTCCTGATGCCTTCATCTGATCGAGATTTGTTTGGCTGACATAAAGTACGTATATTGAGATTGAAGAGAACATTGGGAGGAAGGAGAAAAATAGGAGAGTAAGGAAAATATTACTACTATCATTGCACTATTTAACAATATTCCATTCGCATGTTGTTGTGCAGCTATACTGCAAATATAAATTACCTTTACTTTAAGAAAGAATGGTTTATAGATCTTAAAGGTACTGGCATCAGCAAACAAAATGGAGGACAGCCAAAGGGTATGTAAAGGTTTTGCTAGTGTGTTTTGGTTGGTCAAAAGGGATGTGTTGCATAAGCTTCCAATTTGTTAAATATTAAATTAAATTGATGTGAAAGAGGAAAATCTTGAATGTTTTGACTAATGTATCATATTGCAGCTTCCTCATTTACTTGATAGAAAAAAAACTTGATGGATGACTTGAAACCTCCTCTCTAAAAGAAGTTCTCTTTCTGACTATACTTTGACTCCTTAAAAAGTTACCTGAACACTTCTCCTGCACACCCTAGTATATTTTATCCCCTCCCCCACCTGTTTTTTTATATGTCTCCTGGATGAAGGGACTTACCCAGGTTGGGCCCTTAAGCCCTGTCCAGACTTGGGATCATGGGGGCAGAAGGGGGGTGGCAGCAGAAGGTGTCTCGGAGCATGAAGTAAACAGGTGTGGGATTATGACTGAAGCTCTGTCTTTGTCTCAGGGGGAGCTGCTGGACGGGACGGCAGACTATCTGTCAGGCCTGGATGACCTGACAGACAGCGATTCGCTGCTCTCCAGGAAGAAGATTAAGAAGACTGAAAGTGGTATGTACGCGTGTGACTTGTGCGACAAAACATTCCAGAAGACCAGTTCCCTCCTAAGACACAAATATGAGCACACAGGTATATATAACACTTGGACATTTCTTTTTAATCCCCCGTTCTCCTTTCACTTCTAATTTCTTTACACATTTGTTTTATTCCCCAACCTTTACTTCTGTTTCTCACTTAGCTCCCCGCTCGTAGCTCTTCTACTCTTATTTTTTCTCTGCAGGCTGTGGCCTTTAACACATTCTCTTCTTTGCAGCAGCTTGGTGGGAAGTTGATCACTGAGAAAATGTTCTGCAGCATCAGTTTCAGACTGTATGTGTGTGGAGGGCGGGGTTCAGCTTGTCATTGTGTCTGAGTGAAGAATCTGAGGAATAATTTATTTAAAAAAAAAGAGAGATTTAGCTTTTTATATTAAGCCTGGAAACAGTCTGTGGTAAAGCTCAGTGGTAAAGATAAACTTACTCTCAGCCGTCATGTTTAACATGACAGTAAAAATATAACTCTTTTTAACAGCAAACAGTTTTTACTTTTATTTTTCAAAAATGTGATGTGAAAAAAAAGAAAAAAAAGCAAGATATACAATTAAAACTTTTGTAAATTGTAGAATATAAAGAGAGAAAAATATAGATATAAGACCATGTAGACAAAATAAGGGATTTCCAGGTCTATCCTTTTGCAAAGAAACACATTTTCTAGTATGGGATTTGGTATGGGATTTTGCAGAAGCATATGGGATGAACTGTAGCTGTCTGTTTTTATTTATTGTTTTTAAAGCAATCCTAAAACAGATAATTAACAAAATTCAGCCTACTTCAGAAGTAAATGTACGCACTTATATCTTTTAGTCTTGTTATTATCACAAAATGTTTGATGGCAGTAGAATGATTTATGGTATATATTTTATAAGAACATTGACATTTAGCTCTAAGTCATTAACCTAACCATTTCTTGCATGTTTGGTGGTTAGAGCTTATTGAGTATAGCTGAGTGCTGATCTCTCATCTTGGGCTTTTGGTGAGAAAGTGATGTTGTGTTTGTTTTCTTAACTGAGGAAGTTCTGACCCGCACATTGATATTATGAATCAGTGATTGTAAGTGATTGTGGTCATGTGGTCAAACAAAAAATATAAAGCTGCATGCATCAAATGTATAAAAAGAGATGTAGTGCTTCATTCGCTTGGGGAGCATATCATGTTGATATATGGTTGTTAGCTTATATGTATGATTACCAAATGCCAAAAATCAATCCTAATCTACCAAGACCTGGAGTAAATTGTCCCAGTGTTTTTCCAATCTTTTATAATCAGTATGTAATTATCAAGCAGGGTCAAACTCAATTTTGATACCAAGTAGATGCGGAGACACCAATCTCAGAAAAACTATCTGGTACCACGGTATCATCTTTCTTTACTGAATTTTCTTTAAAACACAGGCTGGGGGGGTTAAAACCAGAACTCTGTTCCGTGGAGGTGACAAAATGTCATCCTACCTGTTTTATTCCATCTTTCTCTGCATTGCATCATCCCATCATCATGTTGGCCAGATAAAGCAATCCTAAGCAGGAAAACAGGCAATCAGTATTTAAACCCACAAACTTCATGTTTAATTCAGGAGTGTTATGTAAAAAGTATCTCGCTTAAATGTTCTGGAGGTCTGATGTTTCCTGTATGAACTCTGTTTGCACTTTATTTTTTTTACATTTTAATGTTTCCTGTTTATTTCTGTTAACATCTGACCTGAAGTTCAACAGCGTACTGATAATGTTAAAAATAACTAAACCTAATTACTAACGGGTTTTCTGTGTTTCATTTCAAACTTACAAACTTACGGAGCCCCTCTGATGACATGGTCAAAAAAAAATTGTTATTGTGGCCACGAAGTAGTATTTCGTGCGCACAAAGTAGTATTTCGTGGCCACGCAATAAGTATAACGTGCGCACGAAATACTACTTCGTGGCCACGCAATAAGTTTAACGTGCGCACGAAATACTTATTAATAATATTAACATCATTCCTGGACAACTGGGTAAGCAAATCGAGCGCGCCTTCTCTAAGGTCTAAGGCGCGCTTGATTTGCTTACCCAGTCGGTCTCCGCCAGTCACGTGACATTTGTTGCTAAGACGCTATTTTAGCTGGAAAAGGCGTAGTGTAAACAACCGCAGCATAGCTAAACGAAGGACTAAAGGCCCGTTTACATAGCAGCCTGTCCAAGATAAGTAATTACAGTTAACATAAGCCTGAAAACAGGGGCGGATTTATGGATATTATTAATAAGTATTTCGTGCGCACGATAAACTTATTGCGTGGCCACGAAATAGTATTTCGTGCGCACATTAAACTTATTGCGTGGCCACGAAGTAGTATTTCGTGCGCACGTTATACTTATTGCGTGGCCGCGAAATACTACTTCGTGGCCACAATTAAACATTTTTTTTGACCATGTCATAAGAGGGGCTCCGTACAAACTGAATTTGGACTAAACAAGAAACTAGATTAACTCTAGCTAGGAGGATCAATATTTGCAGCCAGGCCGTGCAAAACAGGGATTTATTAAGTGATGTGAGCACTTTTGTAAAAGCTGGAGTTTTGTCAGATTGCTGCTCTTAGCTTTCAGATGTATGAACGCAATGCCAGGGAAGAAAGAAGGAATGGCAGCCTCTATTGGTCAGTCTGGGAAAGATTGAAAGAAAATGTCCTTTCTTTACAACTTGTAGTCTGTCATTTCAGAGAAATATCACCAATAAAAAAAAATGTATCATTAAAACAGCCACTTTAGATCACCAACAGGAAAACAATCCTATGGCCGCCACAAATCTCTAATAGAATTAGTAAACAACTAAACAGTCAAGGTGAGGCAGTTGTCTGGTTAAAGTCTTGATATCTACCTGATTGACTTACTGGGACCTGAAGAGAGCTGTACAGAGACACTCTTATGCTAAGTGGTGATGTGATAAGCTATCAGTTAGAAACAACTTATTCTCAAAATCTTGTATTGAATACAGAAACCTAACAGTGTCCAATAAATTATTGAAATAACACAACACCTGACGAATTAAAGCTTAAAACATTTTTTAATGGAGTTTGTTTCCAAGCTTAATATGCAGTTGGGGTCTGCACCTATACATTTGCTCTACCTTCACCTCTTTCACTTCATTGCAACATCTTCATTTAACTCCCCAACACAGGAGCAAAAGGCCGTCACATCGTGTAGATTTTACTGCGGTGTGTGTGTGTTTATCACACACACACACATCACAGTCTGCAAGGTAATGGGATGTTTTAGGTTCTCCCAGTGTGTCTGTTGGAACAACCTGGCTGCATGTAGCTGGGAGCTGAGCTTATGTGTGTGGAGCCGTGTTTCTGGTGAATGTGTGGGTGGGATGCCTGATTGGATCGGGTTCTGCCTGTCGGTTGGCAGCAGGCAAACTATCCCGCTCAGTCAGATGGAAGAAATTTCCACCCATATGGAGTCATAGTAAATTCAGCACACAATGTTCGCGTGTGCGTTTGACAACTGTGCAGATTTCCTGCCTCTTCTCAGGTTACATCTGGTGCCATAGTGTTAGTGAGGCTATGCCCCGTGATAACTTTTCAGCTATCTAATGGTGGTCATGGCAAGAAATGGACACAGGGCATAAGCGCACTCCTGATTAGAAGTTCCTTTGAACAATAGAAAGTATATTCCAATTGAAAGTTCGAGTGAATGGCCATGGTATGGCTTATAGCATTAGTGTAAAAAGTCAGTATCCTGTCATTTTTAGAGGTTGTCCTCCTTAAACAGGTTTGAGTGAAATCAATGTGTTTTTAGCAAGGGTCTGTACATCAGGGTCAAATGCTGAAAAGGTTACTGGACCTTCACCTACACCTGTTCACAGAGTGTTTAATCCAGGGATTCACATGTGTGACAGAGAAATGTGCAAAAAGCAACATGTATAACTGCCTGACAGTTTATAATGAAGCCAATTTAATGGTCATGCAGAGATCCACAAGGGATGGACTTTAAATGGTTGTTTAAGCTCTAGATATATCTATAGCTTCAACTTCCCCATCATTGTGTTAAAAGACAGTTTAAAGACAATATCTGAAACATTATCCCTGGGTTGAGGAGAAATAATATTGGACTGTTGTTAACTGGTCTGAGGTGTTTTATTTGGATAAAAATACATTTGTTACTGTATTAGGAAATCCAGTTAGACTGGAGGGAGAATGGTGAGGCAAAGGGAGAATCTAAAATAATTAAGTTTCAAGGTGAAGTTTCCATATTCAAGAAGGATTGGGGGAGGAATATGACATTTCTTGGTGTTGGTCCACTGTTTTATCAAGTCGAAAGTCTGGCATTATTTTTTGCTACCCTCTGCTGACAAGCATTTTAGAGATGCTGGTTTTATTTACGAAAAGCCTGCAGATGAACTGAAGGACGCTCTAAAAGCACCCTGGGCTTTCTGATCTGTTCATCAGAGCTGATTGTCTCCATGTTACGCCGCAATGATCTAATGATTTACTCAAATGGAAAACAAACCAAGCACAGAAAGCATAAACTGTACTACCTTGGTCAGCCATAATGAATTACGTGGAAACCAATTTGGTCTGGTAAACCACCATATCTGGCCCGACCAATAACAGCGGGCTAAGGGGGACTTCGTGATGTGTCACTCTCAGCGCCTTTTTGCTTTTCTGTTAGCATAACAGCAAGCTGGTGACTGCAAATTATCAATATTTTAATGATGCTCTCGCATGTCCCCAGTAGGATTGAGCTGACCTTAAACCCTTAACAATGGACGTCTTTAGTGCCATTTATTTTTTTAAAAACATATATTTGCTGTTTCCAGCTTGACATTTTTCACGGACAACAAAATTACAGAAAACAGAGCGCATCGCTTGTAGGTTTGAATCACATCCTAAGTTATCTGATTAGCTCTAACCTAATGAGGCTGACCTTGTTGGTCCCACCTTTGAATTCCAGCCCTATTATATCTTTACCAGACTGATACGCCATGTAACCTCATGTATGTCTGGATGGCCAGGCTAAAATTATATTATAGATGGACATACTTCAGATTAGACCAACATGTTTGCTAAATATTTTGGATTTTTTTTTTTGTTAAATTCTAATTTTGTGAGTATTAGATCATCATTATCTATAAACTATTAATCAAAAACAACAGAAATAAACAGTCGAAAAATTTTACTGTGTGATGAATCTGTATAATATCCAAAATGTACTTTTTACATAACTGAAATTAAATCTTTGAGGACTTTTTAATTTCTACGCATGTTCTGTTTTAGTTACTTTGATAGATGAGAATTAAGCTTTTAGTTGTCACAGATAAAAATATGAAGACATTTTTGCTGATTTTGTCTCCTGAAGCTGGTTGCTCTGTCCTTACCGACTCCTACTGTCTCCTCTATGTGTGTCTCCAGGTAAACGTCCACATCAATGTCAGATCTGTAAGAAGGCCTTCAAACACAAACACCACCTCATCGAGCATTCACGCCTACACTCAGGGGAGAAGCCCTACCAGTGTGACAAATGTGGCAAGCGTTTCTCCCACTCTGGCTCGTACTCACAGCACATGAACCATCGCTACTCCTACTGCAAGAGGGAGGCTGAGGAGCGTGAGGCGGCAGAGAGGGAGGCCAAGGTAGGACCGCTGGCTGGAGGCCTGGAGCCCACCGAGTTGATGATGAGGAGGGCCTTTCTGCAGGGATTGGGACCTCTCGGTTTCTCTGATCCCGAAGAACAGCCAGAAGAGGGCTGTGGTACCATCTTAAGGGACGGAAGAGAGGGAGGAGGAGAGCAGGAGGAGGGGGGAGTGGACAACAAGATGTACGAGGAGGTGACAGACGGACACAAAGCAAGATTCAAGAACAGAGAGGAAGAAGGGGGTGATGGCAGGAGCCAGATGGACTCAAAGCTCGATGAAGGGGGCAAAGACTCAGCACAGCTGATGGACACTTGTTCACGAGAAGGGAAGACAGACGGCACGTTGGAGCAGGAAGACTGATGGAGGAAAATGAACTGAGAAAAATAAAGATTTGTCCGTGAGGTTCAGTATTTGCTTCATGATGAAGGATAATAGAATGCCTGATTGCAGGATGTTGGTCATGAGTCAGATCTATATCCAAACTTGTGTTATACATCAGGCTTCTGGATAAGATCAACAATGATATCCGGAGGGCGTGGTTTACCTAGGACACCTGTTACTCTCAGACATCATACCAATTTTGATGGCTCCCACTGAGTTAAATCTCTTTATTCAACTAAGCTGTAGTTTATCATGTTCAGTCTGATTCTTTCCAGAAAGCAATTTTTTTTTAAGTTGCCACAAAATTTTGATTTTCGCAGTTAAATTTACTCCCAATCTATTTAATCTAGAAACCTAAGTAAAAAACATGTATGAAACTTGTGTTTGAACTCTGAACTCCCGTTTTTTTCTTTTACAATTGGATTTTTCTTTTAAGTAATTATGGATTTAAATATAAATATTATTTTTATATTTACAAAATTACAGTAAGCAATCTGTTTAAACATAATTATTTGAAAACTTAATCCAAATTCCTTCTTATATAGACTAACATTAGACTATGTAAAACTACCTTAAATCACCGCTTGTCAAAAAGTGAGTTTAAAACATGTCCTTGATTGGTTTAAACTGGTAAAGCGGTCATGGTGTACAATGGAAAATTTATTTTGATACCCAAAAAGGTTGGATCCAAAAAAAAAAAAAAAAAAAAAAAAAACAGGTCAAAAGAAACAAAACAGAAAAAAAAAAAAAAAAAAAAAAAAAAAAAACAGTTTACCTTGTTACCTTATTTCCCTGGCCTTTGCAGTTTTGTTTTTTTTTTGTTTTTTTTTGCAACATTAAGGTTCTCATTTCAAAATTAAACCAAATCTTTATGTTTCTGGTTCTATTGGAGGTAGAAGCTGTAAAGTCTGTAGGACTGAACCTAATAAAATACGAACATTTAGCAGCCAAAGTAGGAGGTGTCCTAATAAAGAGGCGTCCATTTTAGCCTGATTATGTATGAACTACGTTTTTGATTAGTTAATTTTAACCCTTTAAGCAAACCAATATAACCTTCAGTGTACAAGATGGTTGTTGACCTGAATCATGAAGCAGGACTGCCTGGTTTAAAATCCATGTTATGCAAGATAAGAAAATAAAAGTAATAATAATTATTATTCTAATAAACTAAGTGAAGCGCTTGTTAATGTACAGTATTATAAAGGCCTGAAAGCTGTGTGGTGCTCTGATGTTCCTAACCTTTGTGTCTCGTGTTCGATAAAAACCACTTCAGGAAATTGCACTTGGCTCCCTGAATCACTACAAAATAGTAAAAAAATATACATATAAAAAATTTAAAGAGGGAAGCCTGGAACACTCGATCACGTTCTGTCAGTGTTATTGTTGTCGTTATGTCTCCTTTTTATGTGACATTTTTTACATGAATATTTTGATCCAACTTTATTATTCTACCAACAAGCCACATGACTTCAGGCATCCTAAGTTGTTGTTGTTTTATTTTCTCTGTGAAGGAATAATTGTGATTTTTAAGTCTTAAAATTGAGAGGCAGAAATGGGGGGAAAAAAGGGCTTGGCTGTAAAAAGAGGACGGAGCCTTGTGCTTCAAAGAAAGCCTTATATGCAAACCTTTTACCTGTCTGTTTCTAAAAACCTGCCATCCCTGTGCAGTGACACACCACTCACCCCTGTCCTCTCATCCTTTCAGTATTAAATTAGATACAGTAGATGTCACTCTATAGTTCACAACTGTGCAATTTGTATTTTTTTTTGAACATGCCATTTCTTTTTGACAGTATTAATTTTTGAATTTACCAACAAAAATTTTACTTTTTATTTGAGGATTTTCCATTTTATTTATGTGTGTCCTTTTATATTGCTGTCTTTATTTATTTCCTACTGTAGTGTACAGTATTAGGGTTTCTCCCAGAAGTATATTTTAGTAAAATGGTTCCATCATTGATTATTGGAACATAAATGTTGATCAGGTCGTATATTTGTTTCCTTCGTGTTTCATTTCATTTGAAACTACTGATAAAAAAAAAAATGAATCTTGGGAACTTTAATACAATAATTATTGTGCAAGCACTGTATTAATAAAAAAATCCACTTTATTCATTCCTCTGAAGAGAGGATGAACTGATGATGAAGGAAGTCCTGAAATGTCTGAAGTACTATGGTTTTTAATTTTTATTTTTTAAGTTGAAATAAATGTAGCCAAATTAAATTTTAATAAAACTGTGTTGTTCTTCTTGTAGTAATTGTATTTTATGTATTACAACTCCAGTGATAATGCTGATATTTTAGTGTAATGTTAATCAAAGGGTGTGGTGGTCCTAATACAACGTCCACAAGTGTTAAGTGGTTAGAGGAACATTCAAATATATTTTTATAAGTTGTCCTGCAGATTATCTTCTTTAACATAGTCATTGCCTGTGCAGTGACTGATGCAGAATCTTTAGGCCAAACTGTTTAACTATAAATTAAGATATTTTACAATGGAAAATCTTTTAAGAACCACACATTATGCTTTTTAGCATAATAGTAGGACAACTCTTTGAGTATTACTTTAGAGCAGTCTTTGGTGCGCTCAAATCTGCTTTCAAATAACTTAAATAAACTTGGTTATATACAACAAGTTTTTTAAATGCAGAATGACTGAAACCCTGTTATTTTCGAGAATAGAAACGTATGAAAAATATTTTTCTAAGCAAAGCAAATTGAAAGCAATTGCCCCCATGGAATTTGTGAACCCGATACCCTTCTTTCATACCGCAGATGTGCAAAGCCCTTTCAAAGTTTTCATTATAGAATGAGTTAAAGTGAGGAAAATAAGTATTTGAACACCCTGCTGTTTTGCACATTCTCCCATTTAGAAATTGAAAGGTCTGAAATTGTCATATATATATATATATATATATATATAGTCATATATATATATATATATATATATATATTTTTTTTTTTTTTTTTTTACTATTTCTTTGTATGATGCAGCTGCAAATAAGTATTTGAACACTTGTCTATCAGCTAGAATTAGACCTGTTAGTCTGCCTTCAAAACGTCCACCTCCTCCCCATTTATTATCCTAAATTAGATGCACCTGTTTGAGGCTGTTAGCTCCATAAAGACACCTGTCCACCCCATACAACCAGTAAGTATCCAACTACTAACATGGCTAAGACCAAAGAGCTGTCCAAAGACACTACAGACAATATTGTACAGCTCCACAGGGCTGGAAAAGGCTATGGGGAAATTGCCAAGCAGCTTGGTGGAAAAAAGAACCACTGTTGGAGCAATCATTTGAAAATGGAAGAAGCTAGATATGACTGTCAATCTCCCTTAAAAAAAAAAAAAAAAACCTTTTGGGGTCTCAATGATACTAAGAAAAGTGAGAAATCAGCCCAGAACTACACGGGAGGAGCTGGTCAATGACCTGAAAAGAGCTGGAACCCATGTTTCCAAACTTACCGTTATACAATAAGACATCCTGGTTTAAAATCATGCATGGTTAAGAAAGTTCCCCTGCTTAAACCAGCACATGTCAAGTAACCAAGAAGTGGCTCTGTAAGAAGCACATCAAGGAAACAAAGGCAAACCAAAAATTAACACTTATTTGCCTCTCTGTCACACAAAAAAATTGTTTAAAAATGTCAGAGATTCTGGATTTTTTTTTTTTTAGGCTGTTTCTCACAGTGGACATGCACCAACAATTACAATTTCAGACCCATTCATGATTTCTAAGTGGGAGCACTTGCAAAATAGCAAAGGGTTCAAATACTTCTTTTCTTCACTCTACATATTCCTCTCCTGAAAATTAAAGAATGCCATGTTTGGTTCAGCAATATTAAGCAAGTAGATAATAAATCCAATAAATTATTTGTGTTTTATTGTATTCATTTTAGTGACCTTGGTGTAAAAAAAAAAACGTGACAAAAAAGGATGCAGTACTTCAGCACTTATTTCTTTTAATCGTTATTAAATGTGTAAACGTTTAAAAAATCTCATTCAGACGTTATGGGAAATTGTGGCAATAATTTTGAAATTAAAAACAAAAAAAAACGATATTACCATGACTAAACGTTAAATAAACACAAAAACTTCAGCATTCAGAGTAAGTTTTATTATTATTATTAAAAGAAGTTGTAATTCGTCGGAAAGTCGGACATTTTTTATTCATTTCCTTTTACTCATGAAAATGTGTAAATGTATTAGCGTTTATCTCTAAGCATAAATTGCATTCCAAAGAATAAAATAGCAATCAATATCCGCCATTGTAATTGGACTGACCGTCACCCTTCTGCAGCGACGTGATGACGTCATCCCTTGCGTGACCCTTGAGCGGAGCGTCAGATGCTGCGAGAGGAGGTGAGTGTTTGTAGGGCATCTAACCTGGTTGTCCTCTGTTCATTCACTGTCTGCCAGGGTCCGAGTCGGTATGGGGTTATCATTCCCCCGGTCGGCGGGGTTTTATTGACACGGAGCCCGGAAGAGGGTTCGGTTCGGCTAACGGAGCTAATGTAACAGCTCCAGGAAGTAGTCGGCTCCATGAGATGTCACTGAGATTGCAACTGTTGTGTGTCAGTCTTAAAGTAACAGTCGGATGAATACATTGGTCGGGCAGCATAAAGTTACAGTTACAACAAAAAGTTAAACTTAAAACCTAAAAAAATTAAACTATTGAATATATCTTGTCCTGGGGCTGTTCAATGAGCTCAGAGACGGCAGCATGTTTGAATTCAAATTGATTGAGAAGCAATGGGAATGATTTTCTCTTCTATTATCCACAAAATCCCTCCTGCTGTCTAGTTAAAGCTGCAGGAAGGTTAGATCAGTCCTCCACATATTGAATATTATTCCTAATCCATAAACTTTTGTAGGATTCAACATTTTCTAATATACAGGTGCTGGTCATAAAATTAGAATATCATGAAAAAGTAGATTGATTTCAGTAATTCCATTTAAAAAGTGAAACTTGTATATTATATTCATACATTACATACAAACTCATATATTTCAGATGTTTATTTTGTTTAATTTTGATGATTACAAATGACAACAAATGAAAATCTCAAATTCATCATATCAGAAAATTAGAATATTACTGAAGACCAATAAAAACAAAGGATTTATAGAAATGTTGGCCAACTGAAAAGTATGAACATGAAAAGTATGAGCATGTACAGCACTCAGTATTTAGTTGGGCCTCCTTTGGCCTGTATTACTGCAGCAATGCGGCGTGGCATGGAGTCGATCAGTCTGTGGCACTGCTCAGGTGTTATGATAGCCCAGGTTGCT